GCTATTAGACATTGCCACTCTGAGGACCACGCCAAGCCACGTCTGCAGAGCTCTGGGGTTGCCATAGAAATGAATTGGTCGTGTAGTTAAAGGCGAAGGATTGACACTGTCCAAGAGCTGAGGGCTCCCCCCATTCCACGCAGCAGCGGAGAACAGAGAGGGGCTCGGTGTGTGGTGGGGGGGCGGGGGTGGGGGACTCAGTGCATCAATCCCCAGGCCTGGGAGCAGTTGACAAAGCTAGTATGTAGAACCCGCGGCCGTCGGGTCGATTCTGAGTCATAGCCATCCCCTATAGGGTTTCCAAGGCTGGAAATCTTCACAGAAGACAGCCTCCTTTTTCTCCCGGGAATGGCCAGTGGGTCTGAACCGCAGACCTTACAAAGGCCCACAGGGAACCCTCAGTGCCACCAGGGCTCCTTGGCATCAATGACCCCAAAAAGAAAGAAAAGCAAACAATGGCCGTGAGTCAAAGCCGACTCACAGTGGCCCTACAGGACAAGGTAGGTCTGCCCCCGGGGTTTCCTGAGGCTGGAACTCCACGGAAACCATACCACTGATAGGGTTTTATCACCAAATGTGGACAAATTGATGAAAGTCTGCACTGGGAAAGGACAGAGAGAACTGTGTTAAACAGAAGCAATCCACGCTGCAGTTGGATGGTTGCTGAAATGTGGAGGTGCAAAAACGGTGGTCCTGGGGTCCAATCCAATCTGGGGCGCGCCTCTGGGGCTGAGGACTGCTCTGCTGGGTTTCCGAGGCAGCCTTTAAAGCAGACAACCCAGCCTTCTCGCAACTGACGGGTGGGCTCGCTGGAGGCTCCTCTGCGATGAATACAGGGGGAAGGCACAGGGGTTCCTTGACTATGCAGGGCCTTCTCCGGAAATGTAAAGACGTGGACGGTAAGTCAAAATGCACTGGGACTAAAGCAGACACCTTTACTACATGAAACTATCCAACTGTGAGGCTGTTGTTTCTCAACTTGTCCTCCTCCAGGTCTACAGGCTTCCATCGCTCCATCCCCTTCCTGTTCCACGGAGAACGATGGGCTTGCTGTCCTCCTCCCGCCCACCAGGTCTGCTGTCATGAGTGCTCAATGCAGGTGGGACCGACTCGAGGTCGTGTTTTGGCTCCTGTGGGCTTGTTTTAATCTGCTTCAGCCTTGTCAGGTTTCCCTGCCTTGAACACTACTGGCTGAAGACCGATGAGCCGCGGGAGGACAACAAAGGGCAGACGCATGAGGGAAGCACAAAGTACATTAAATGAAACAGGAGAGAAAATAAAGTTCAAAGTGAACGTCAGAAGAGACCCTGGAACTTCCTCTTAATCGTAGCGTCACCGAAGCCCACGGAGAAAGGATAAAGTCAAAGAACTGAAAAGAGAATTTCAAAGCACAGCTCCAAAAGACAAAGCCACATGTGATAACGAAATGCGCAAGGGCCTAGAATTGGAAGACCCAAAGGGAAGAACAAGCTCAGCACATATGAAACGGAAAGAACTCAAGAAAAAACCCAAACCCTCGCGATGCAGTCTTGAAAGATCCTGTAGGCAAAGCACTGAATGAAGCCGGAAGCATCTGAAAGAGATGGACTCGAATACAGAGGCACTGGATCAGAAAGAACGAGGAGGTAGCATACGAGCAAGAACCCATAGCGCTGAAGGAAGAAGTTCAAGTGTCACTGAAAGCATTAGCCAAAAACAAGGCTCCAGGACCGGGCAGAACACCCACTGAAATGTTTCAGCGAGCTGAGGAAGCCCTGGAAGCCCTCATTGGTCTAGGCCAGGAAATTTGGAAGACAGCTACTTGATTCCATATTTGTGCCCATTCCAAAGAAAGGTGACCCAAGAGAATGCTCAAACTATAGAAAAGTATCATTGATGTCACACACACAGTAAAGTTTTGCTTAAGATCACTCAACAAGGGTTGCATCAGTACAGAAGTTCTGGGTGGATTCAGAAGAGGACATGGAACAAGGGATATCGCTGCTGATGTGAGATGGATCTTGACTCAAAGCAGAGAAGGCCAGAAAGACGCTAACTTTGGTTTCACTGACCATGCAAAGCACTTGACTGGGTGGGCCATAACGAACTGTGGGTGACTTCGAGAAGCATGGGGTTCCAGAATACTTCATTGTGCTCAGGAGGAACTTGTACATGGATCGAGAGGCAGTTGTGTAAACAGAACAAGGAGCTACTGAATGGTTTAAAATCAGGAAAGGTGTGCGTAAGGTTGTATCCTCTCACCATACTTGCTCAATCAGTGTGCTGAACAAATCATCAGCGAAGCTGGATCATATGAAGAAGCGTGTGGCATCAGGATTGGAGGAAGGTTTATTAACAACCTGCACTGTGCAGATGGCACAGCCTTGCTGCTCAAAGTAAGGAGGAAACGAAGCACTTGCCGATGAAGACCAAAGAGCCCGCAACTGGTCCAAGAGGTAAGTAACATCATGGTCAATGGGGCAAAGGTTGAAATTATCAAGGATTTTGTCTTGCTTGGATCCATAATCAGTGCTGATGGAAACAGTAGTCAAGAGATCAAGAGATGTATTGCATTGGGAAAATCTGCTCCACAAGACCTTTCTGGAGTTTTGAAAGGCAAAGAAGGCTGTTCCTTTGAGGACTACAGTGTGCCCGAACCCAGCCATGGTCTCCTCCCTGGCATCTCCTCCCGTGCATGTGAAGGCTGGACAATGAATAAAGACCTTAGAAGAATCGATGCATTTGAGCTGTTGTGCTGGAGAAGAATGTGGAAAGAGCCACCGACTGCTAAAAGGACAAACCAAATTGTGTTGCAGGAAGTAAGGCCCGAGTGCTCCTTAGAGGTAGGGGCGATAAGATTTCGTCTTGCACATTTTGAAGATACTGTCAGGAGAGACCAGTCCCTGGAGAAGGACAGCATGTTTGGTAGAGTGGAGGGGCAGTGACGAGGAAGGCGTACAATGAGGTGGACTGACACTGTGGCCACATCAGGGGCTCAGGTGTGGGGACGATGGTGAGGACGGTGCAGGACCAGGGAGGGTTCCGTCTGCTGTGCACGGGCCGCTCTGGGGCGGAGCTGACTTGGCACCCCCTAACAATAACAATCCCTCTTTGACGAATCTAGTGTCCCTCGAGTTAATCCTGTGTCATGGTGGCAGTTTGGGCATCCTCAAGGGACTCGAGCCATTCTTTTGTAACGTTCTTTGAGTTTGGGAAACAAAAGGAAGCCGGAAGGGGCAGGATCAGGGGGGCAGGCTGCTCAGGCCAGATTTGCCCTTGAGGGAGCAGGAACCACCTCACGGTGGGAAAGGATTCCTTGGCACAGATTCCCTGGCTTTTCTCACCAACGCAGGTTTCCATTTTCTGAAAACTTCATCTTCTGCGATCCTACCATATTGCATCCTTCAAGAAAATCCACCAAGATGACCCCTTGGGAGTTTCCAAAACCAGTCACCCGACCTCCCGTGAGCTGACCTCTGCCTTGACCTGACCGAGCAGACCCCCTGGGAAGCCAGGTTTGATCGGATCCCAGGTTTTGAAGGGACCCCAGATGAAGACAAATGTATTCCTTACAGAACTTGCCGGCAGACGCGCTGACACAGGCTGTGTGGCACAGACTCGGGTGTCTGAGCGGAACCCAAGTGCCCATGCTGTTGGATGGATCCCTGTATCTACACATCCTTCAGCCACAGTGGAAAAACCACTCAAGGCCCATTGTGGGGAGCTGGTTGACTCCCAGTGACCCCTTCACAGAGTAGGGATCATTACGAATACAAATCACGGGGTCTTCCTCCCAAGGAAAGGGTGGGTAGGTTCCAGCTGGTCCTCTTGGCTGGCAGTCCCGGCCGACACTCCAGTGAGGAAGGCAGACAGACAGACCGAGCCCTTGGTGAGTGGGAAGCAAGAGATGGGAAGGCCAGAAATCAAGTGGATGCAAATGGAAAAGGAGCTTCCAGGGCACAGCCACCTTT